AGAGCATGATACCCACTCAGTACATTGAAAGTGGCAGAGAGGCCAAAACAAGGATGCATTTTAAACACATCACAAATCGTGTCTGCTTAAAACGCTGGATACACTGCGTTTCCCCACCCCCCAGGATCAGAAGCGACAGGAGGTTGGGGAAGGCGGTCTCCCGGACGAATCCCGTGCCACGTCTCATCTCGACTGGCCGGGTACATAATAATTCGCAGGTATCGCCTCCTTCTGCGAAGCCTGAAGACCCGGCCTCCCGGGCAGACACATTCCGGCACATGCCCACAGGCACGGGGGCAGCTTGGCGGTGTCTCGATTTGACCCACCTCCATATCTCCTTCCAGCTCCCAGCACCCTCCAGGCCTCCCACCCTCCCCCCTCCACCCCCTGGGCCGAGTGCTGCCTTTTTCTAGTTGGAGGCAGAAGGAGTGGCAGGTGGGTGATGACCGAGAGACAGTGCTAGAGGGCTAAGAAGGGCAGTGACTCGATAAGGCAAACGGACGATTTCCTCAAAAAGGAAAGGGAAGGTTTCAGACGGTCCCGAGAAGATGTGGGGTGGCACCGAATGTTTCTGGGGAGCGGGAGTAGAGTCTTCTCCTTCTGCGTCTCTCTCTGGCTCTTGTCTGCAGTCTGCAGCCACACAGAGCTGTGTGTTTAGCTGTGTCTTTCTCTGATCCTCAGAAGCTCTCTTCCGTGTGGAGCAAATCCAGGAGCCTGCAGCCTGGGCCCGGGGAGTCAGAGGCCAAGTGCGTTCTGGGTGCAATTCGCAGGGAAAGACCCGCGAGGGACATCTGGGTGTTCATGCAAATGACCCCTTGCATGAAGATGCGGGAGGAACAGTGTGCGACTGGGGACGGCCACGCGAGGTTGCAAAAGGCAGAAATTCGGAAGCATCGGGTTCATGCATATGAGAACATCCTCCTCCCAAATGCCGGATTTGCAACGACTTTGGATTTCCTTTGCTATGTCGATGCTTTTCTTTCTTCCCTTTCCCGAGAACTGGAGATGATCCTTTAATGCCAGATTTTCCCCTCTTCACTCTACAGGCAATCTGTTCTACACCTTCCCCCCTTGAGTGCTGAAATGACTTTTACACGCGTTTGATTGATCACACACCGACACCATTTGCCAGACGGGAAGAGCGGAGGTAGGGACGGGCATGCGAGTAGGAGCTGTGCACATTTTCGCTCTTTCAGAGATTTAGAAAAATGGGGGGAAAGGAATAAATACATGAAAGAAGGGAGCAAGCAACTGTGTTTATTTTCTTCCCTTGTCCATCCTCTGAGTGTTGCGCGGCTAAGCATGGAGCTCCGGAGCCAGGGAGTCCTCTGGATGCCAGCCCCACCTGTCACTAGCTAGCACCTCGGGCCGGTCACTCGGATCTCGCTGTGCCTCCATTTCTGCATCAGTGAAATGATAATAAAAATCATATTTACCTCATAGGACTTAAAAGGGTGCCTGAGGCACTGTTGATGTGGTGTATTTGATAGCTACTGTTATTCCCTCGTTTTCTAGTCATTTTCTGGGTCTGTAGAGATGTGAGGTGGGAAAGGATAATGTAAAGAAAAGTCAGGTCCCACCTCGACCGGGCTCTTTATTTGCAATTTGCGGCAATAGTGCATGCCAACGACACTTCATTCTCCACCCACGTTATTTTTAGACCGCATTAGAGCTGGTTACGACTGCGTTGATGAGAATTTGAATCTTTTCACCCCTTTATTCACACATCTGTGTTTGTTCATTTACGCGTTAGTTATTTGAGTCAGGGCACTAGGCAATTTACAAACCTTTACGAAGCAAAGGATTTTCTCCTTAAGGAATCTAAAGCCGTTCGGTTAATGGTATAAACGATTAATACCTAATCAGAGTGACTGTGTTTGGAATATTCTGTTAAATCCCAACAAATAAAACTAATCGGAAATAAATGGTCGGGGAAAATATTTGGAGAATAAACTCAATTTCTGCACTGGGACTCTGACATCTCTAGCCCTAGTCCCGTATACCATCAATCTTCCGACCACAGATATGGCCTCAGGCCTCTTGTTTCCTCAAATTTACCAATATCTTCCTTGACAATGACCTGGCATTTCTCCTTCTGTTGAGCAGGAGCCGCCTGCGTCAAGCTTAGACTGAACACGTCTACTGAACGCCTGCCATGGCCTAAACGCCCTGAGTCTATGTCAGGCACAAAGAGCTTAGGGATTCCGAACTATATGGGTACAGACCATGATTCTATAGTTCATTTTTTGGATGTATTTCAGCCCACAAGTTATCCTTGCCACTTGTCATCCGGGCTTTATGGAGATATATGAAGTATGTATCCGCCCTCAAAAATAAGGAATCTCACAGATGACACATTTTCTCTTGAACGTGAAATAATATTTTATGGCAAGGGAAAGGATCTTTTATTTATTTATTTATTTATTTTTTGGAAAGGATCCATTTTTGATGGGGTTCTTCGTACGGGTTTGAGGAAAGCAAAATGTTGCCAGGCCTTTCCATATACTTCACTTAAGACAACGAACAGTGAAATGTCTGAGGCTAAGCAAAGATGTCGATAAATGGAAAAACTGCAGGACAATCTCGTACTCTGGACAGGGAACTTCTTGTTTGATCGGCATCAGCCACTTACCCTTCCGGGCCACGACTGTCTCATGCTAAAAATTAGAAGCTTATCACGGTAAAGATTAAATTACTTTTAAGGTCCTCCTATCCTGAAAATGACGAGGATTCTAGAACTATGCTCTTTGGTATGGTAGCCACTAGCCCCATGTGGCTCTTAAGCACTTGAAATGCAGCTTGCTCCAACGGAGAGGTGCCGGAAATGTAAAACACACCCCGCATTTTGAGGAGTTATCAGAAGAGAAAGAATGCAAAATATGTTGAGCGTATTGGGTTAAATAAAATATGGCATTAAAATGAGCTTAACCCATGTTTTTTACCCTGACCACAGAAAATGTGAATTACATACGTGACTTACCATATTAGCGCCCAACGAGGACTTCAAGACAAAGGGATCGAATTCGTCTTTAAGGACAAACATTATATGGTCTCATTCATTTGGGGAATATAAATAATAGTGAAAGGGAATAGAGGGGAAGGGAGAAGAAATGGGTAGGAAATATCAGAAAGGGAGACAGAACATAAAGACTCTTAACTCTGGGAAACAAACTAGGGGTGGTGGAAGGGGAGGAGGGCGGGGGGTGGGGGTGGATGGGTGACGGGCACTGAGGGGGGATGAGCACTGGGTGTTATTCTGTATGTTGGCACATTGAACACCAATAAAAAATAAATTTATTATTAAAAAAAAAAAGGACCACTAACGTGTAAAGGTCACTCTTTCAATATTGAGGGCGTTAGGCCTCTAACAAGTCAAGCTTCCAAAATTAAAATTCTCATCCACTCAACACTAACAGCCAGGCAGGGGCAGATATTTGCCCCCAAGTTCCTCTTGAAGTTACTTTCTGTTGAGGCCCCGTGGACGCTCCAGTTACGATGCTCAGCAGCAACCCTTATGGGACTGTCTCAGCTCTGCCGTAAGAGTATCAGGAAACACACCCAAATGTCAAGAGCGATTATTTCTAGGTGGGGTACTGAGTGATGTTTGCATTCTTTTTTTATTTTTTGCTTCATGTTCCAATCTTTCAGCCGTAAGACCTATTAATTTCTTCATCCGCAAAAAAAGCCTATCTTTACATTCCTGCCCGAATGATTTTTACAAATTCTACAAATATCACAAATATGTAAAAAAGAGACCGACTGAAAAGGAAATATCCCAAAGGCTTTCCCCTGCTTTTCTCCATTTCCGAATTTTCTAGAGTGAATAGGTTACTTCTATCAAGAGAAATAATACATCTTTTTTTTTTTTTAAATTTCAATATCCACCCACCCTTAAACCTTAAGCCGAAGTTAATTTGCATGCTGCTTTTCTTTCTCGGGAAGCTTTTCTCTCTACTGTATGAGAGTAAGAGCCGATACTTTAGGTTTTAGCTTCAATCTCGGTGCTAACACAGTTATTTAATATTTTTATAAGTACATGGCGGGGGGGGGCACCTGGGTGGCTCAAGCAATGGTTAAGGGTCTGCCTTCGGCTCAGGTCATGATCCCAGGGTCCTGGGATCGAGCCCCGCATCGGGCTCCCGGCTTGGCAGGCATCCTGCTTCTCTCCCTCCTTCTGCACCCTGACTCATGCTTGCTCTGTCTTTAGTGGCCCCTCTCTCTCTCTTCTCAAATAAATAAATAAATAAAATATCAAGAAAAATTTTATGACTACCATCAAATAGAACCAGAGTCAGAGCACACATAGAGGATGGGGAAGGACTCCAAAAGGTGGCGTAAGATGCCGCCTGCCGTGTAGGGGGGTTTAGGTGGCACCGTAAAAACGCCCGTCTACAGAAATGCCATTTACGTCGGAGCCCTGCAGCAGCGGGGAGGGCACCCCCTGCACGCAGCCCGGGCCAAGTCTGTTCAGCCCAGAGCAAACTCTCTCTCTCACGTGGAGGGAGCTGTGCCTACCCCAATCCCACTAAGGGTCCCTTGCAGTTGCCTTTCCACTTGCCCTCCACTTGCAGAGACCCGAGCCGCTGCCCTACCCACTCAGGTACCATGGGGAAGGCCACGCTGTGCGAGGCAGGGAGGCAGGATGCACCCCGCTCTGCTGTCCGGCCTGCTGCCTTTGGAAAGCACTGGGCTGCTGCTGCTGCTGCTGCTTTTTTTTTTTTTTTAAGTATTTATGTATTTATCCATGAGAGACCCAGAGAGAGAGAGGCAGAGACGCAGGCCGAGGGAGAAGCAGGCTCCCTGTGGGGAGCTGATGCGGGACTTGATCCCGGGCCCTGGGGTCAGGCCCTGGGCGGGAGGCAGGCTGGGCCCGGGCGCCCCTGGCATGGGCTGCTCAGGGCCGGGCAGTATGACTGCTCGGCTGGCCAAGGTATATACTCACTTAACTTCTTCTTGAAGACCAGCGTCTTTCTCTAACCCCGTCCGGGCCGAGCACTTACCGCTGGTGGTAAAGACGACCTCTCCGTCCTGCGGGGTGGGCTCCGCGTCCGGAACCACCTGCAAGGCTCCCACGGTCCGCACGGCAGGGTCCAGAGTGACTGAACTTTCGTTTACGGTCGTGTCGCTGGCGCCCGTGATCTGGTTGGTGGGTGGGCCTCCCAGGGACCCCTCGAAGTCGGTGGGCAGGTCGTCCATGCAGTCGGCATTGGGCTGATAGGAACAGAAAAGCATTGGTCCTGAGAGTTCGTCGCCAAGTTCGAGAGGAAGGGTTTACAGCTGAAACATTTTGTCTCGGTGGGAAACCAAAGCTCTTTACTGTTTCCTCCCGGATCAGTTAAAAAAAATACATTCCGTTATAGTTTCTGCAATTAACATGAAAACATCTTCCCAAATTGCCCTTTCCAAGGGGTCCGTTTAGATCTAGATAGGACGTTCTAATTCCAGAAGCAGCAATATTCACGTATTAATATAATACTTGGCAGTGGCGTGGGAGGGGGGGCACGGTATTTATTTATAATGATAGCCCTGCCCTGAATGCAGTTTGCTCCTCATATAGGAAGTAGCCGGCAGCTGGTCATCACCCCCAAACCCATGCGCCGTTCGCAAATGCACCGATGACATGAGAGCAGGGAGGGGACCCGGAATCGAACTCATGGCGAACTGTTCACTAGAGATACACACAAAAGCACAGGGTGAGGGCATTTTTGTTGTAGCAGCGGTTAAACGTAAGCCAAAAACTAGCTGTAAAAAAAAAAAAATAACCTATTCGCTTAACATGCAAATTGATCATACGTTTGTCAAATCCTCTAAATTAAAATTTTAGAGTATAGAACTCGGGTGGATACCATCTCGTCTAATTATCCACTCATTACGAGATTTCCCCTCCCTCCGGGGCCTCATCCTCAGATCTCTGACAGCCTCACTGAGTAATAGAAAAATGGGGAGGTCTCCGCGTTGCAAGGCCGCCTGTGTTGACCAGTTTTGTGAGACTAACCTATCTTTGGGCAAAATCTTACTCTTTGCAAGTTTTTCTCTTTGGTCTTAGTTCTGCGAAATTATATTGAATATATCTCAAACAGCTTTTACTTGTTTTCTGCTTTTTTAAAAAAGATGTTATTTATTTATTTGACAGGAGAGAGAGATAGAGAGAGAGAGAAGGAGCGAGAGGGAGAAGCAAGGAGCCTGACGCAGGGCTCGATCCCAGGACCCCGGGGTCATGACCTGAGCCCTGACGCTCAACTGACTGAGCCACCCAGGGGCCCCTCTCAAACAGGTTTAAAAATGATTTTCAGTTGTTATGACTCTTTCTAAACTCAAAGATTATTTTTAAAAGATAGTGTTGCAGAGATATGGTCTTGAGAAATACTAAGAATAGCTATGAATTAATTTTTTGTTTTTGCTTCATTTAAACATCAATGTTGCCTCGCGGGATGGTAATTCTGTGGTTTTGCACTCCCAACAGATGCAGATCAGGACAGGCAGGATTAGGTGAGGAAAATTCTGGATTGGCACTGATTGAATTAACATCACTACATGACTATACTGTGTTCAAAGCTCACCCAAAGGGAGCATCCATAACTCATGGACTCCCTGGGAGCACAAAGCAAGAAAGCCAAAGTGGGGGACTCTTGTCCTAATTTTCCACTCTTAAACCAGTCTCCCAAGCTCCTCGCCTGTGTTTCCAATAGTCAGTTGCAGATCTCCATCAATCTCATAAAAGTCTCAAATTCAGCTCATTCCTTCTTTTTCTGTATTCTCTTTCCATTTCACCTTCTTCATCTCTATTGGAAGTGAGCCAATTCATTGAAACCCAAGTTATCAAAAGTCAGTTCACTGAATGACCAACCCACCATATTTACTGAACTTAGAGATTGTGACGCTGGACATGAGCAGGTATGTTCCAAATGATCTCTCCCCATTCGCAGCCTCCCCATTTCCTTAAAGTTTCTTCCCTGGGATATCCTATTCTCTACTTTCTCATCAGAGCCCTCTTTAAAACACCACCACCACCACCACCACCACCACACCACCACACACGTATGATGCTTCATCTCTCTTAAGGAACGAGTTATAAGCTCCTTGGTGGGGCAAAACAGGGTCTCTAAACCCTTACCCCAGCCTTTGGAAACACAGAGCATATATTCCCTATCCCAGGGCTGCAGCTTATGTTGTTCCTCTGCTCAGCACCAACCATCCCCAGGTCTCAAACTGGCTGTGATGAATTCCCAATCATCCCTCAATTCCCAGGCCAAATGTCACCTTTGCTAAGTAGCGTTCCCTCCCAGGTAGCATCTTTGATATTGTGACACTTTATAGGCATTTTTCTCTCTCTGTTATGGTTTATTTGTAGCTGTGCTGGTCTCACACTACTACTCCACAAGCTTTCTTCCCCCACCCCCCAGCTTTATTCAGATATAACTGACATGTAATATTGTAGTAGTTTAGACAACAGAATGATTTGATATATATATATATATGTATATATATACACATATATATATTTCCAGTATATATATATATTTTTTCCAGTATATATACTGTATATATGTATACTGGAAAATGATTAACACATAGGTTCAGTCACTACCCACTACCCCAAATAGCTACAAGTTTGTTCATGTGATGAGAACTTTTAAGATCGACTCTCTTAGCAACTTTCAAATATACAACACAGGATTGTTACCACGCTGCGCTTTACGTCCCCAGGATTTATTTATCTTATAATTTGACCACCTTCGCCCATTTCACCCCTACCCCGACCCTCGGCCTCTGGCAACTACCAGGATGTTCTCTGTTTCTAGGAGTTCAGTTTTTTAGATTCCATATATAAGTGAGACATGAGCTCTAAAAAGTGAAGCCACTACATTACGTTGATCTTGAGTTTCATGCCCGCATATGGTGTCTGACAATTATTAGGTACTCGGTAGATGTCAATTTGAATATTTTGAGTCTCAGTTTACTACTATGAAAAGCTGAGAATGTCAGTATCTGCCCTAGATCAATTACGGGAGGATTTGAGAGAGTGCTTTAAAAACTGTCAAGTTAAAAAAAATAATAAAAATAAAAATCTTAAAAAAAAACTGTCTAGTTTTGTGCGAAGGTAAGGTATGCTATTCAATGGTAGCAGAATATGCCACCCCAAAATGTTGCCATTGGCATGAGGATTATTTTGAGCTAAACACAGTTGAAAAGAAGCAGATAAAGAAATGTTCTCTGCCCTCCTCCCATCTGCCTGAAAGTAGGACATAAATTTGTAGAGGTGGCCCCCTTCCTTGTACCAGGAAGAGAAGAACATTCTCATCACCGGAGTCTGGGAGTTGACGCCCAAAATGGATCTGTAAAAACACACCTTCCTAACACGCCCTTATCTGCCATTCGTTTGCCTCAGCTGCGTGCTTTCCCACAATTTGCTGCCCTAGAAACTCCAGGTCCTTTACCTCTGTCTTTTCGCTTCTTTAAAAATTTGTCCTTCTGTGAAGATGCTCTAAATGTCCAAGTTCTGACCACCCCTTGGAGTTACTCATCCCTAAGGGCTCCCATGTGCATGTGCAATGCACGTGTTAATAAATGTCTGGTTGTTTTTCTCTTGTTAATCTTTAACCAGTCTCATTTACGGGGCCCCAGCTGGAGAACTAGGAGGGTAGAAGGGAAAACATGTTTTTTTCCTTCCCCTACACTATATAAAAACATAAGCAAAGCAACTGTGTGTGGGGTGTCAGTGAAGATTTCACGACGAGCGTACTGTGCTGCTTGGTCTTTCATCCGTAAGCATCTGAACACAATCATAGATGTGATAACAACTGACATATTTTTCAAAATGTTGACTTTGCTTGTTGATATCATTCCTTCGTTTTATCTCTTTTCCTTTTTTTTTAAAGTCATTAATTTTGTTTTTGTTTTTTTTTAAAGATTTTTTTTTTAATTTTTATTTATGATAGTCACACAGGGAGAGAGAGAGAGAGGCAGAGACACAGGCAGAGGGAGAAGCAGGCTCCATGCACCGGGAGCCCGACGTGGGATTCGATCCCGGGTCTCCAGGATCGCGCCCTGGGCCAAAGGCAGGCGCCAAACCACTGCGCCGCCCAGGGATCCCTAAAGTCATTAATTTTGATGCGGAGTGTTTCCTTTTACTTTGGGGACTAGTGGGAACTAGTATTATATCTTTAACAAAAGGGGAAAAGAGAAAGAGCTAATTAGCTCAGTGAGACTGCGACTGGTGGCACGCATGAGTACGGTATTGAGTAGACTGCAACTTAGAGAAACTCACAGTTCACATCCACACTAAGTGGTTCATCAAATAGAAGAATATTTTGAAAAGAAATCCAATTTATATACGTCTAAGAGAAATGACAGGCATGATGTTTGGCAGAGGATGTCAAATGCCACCTGCAAGTGAATATGGTAAAGGTATTCGAACTCAGGTGAGCATGGGGCTACTCCTCAAATAAGCCAACCCCTAAAGAGTCAGGAACCTGGGAATACTCCAGCTACATGGGATTTTCTATTCAACATCTCTCATCCTATTCTTATCAGGGCAACAGCGACAGGAGAAGGTGTTTGCTGGGATATGAATGGCCTGGTTGACATGGTACCTTGTAGGAGTGAGTACTGGCTAAGACCTGGGTCCCATCATTCTACAAAGACACGCCTGGACCTGACTGGGAAGACAGGAGGCACCGTTGTGTAGATAAAGGGATGAAAAGCGCCCCTGCCCTCTTTACAATGTAGTATTTTATTTCTTTCTCTCTCTCTTTTTAAAGGTTTATTTATTTATTTTAGAGAGAGTGAGAGTGAGAGAGAGCAGGGGGAGGAGCAGAGGGAGATGGAGAATCCCGAGCAGAACTCCCGATGCGGGGCTCGAGCTCATGACCCTGAGATCATGACCTGAGCTGAAATCAAGAGAAGGATGCTTAACTCCCTGCACCACTCAGGTGGTCCCAATAGTTTATTTCTCTTGGCAAAATATAATAATAATAATAAAAAAGATACCCACTGCAATAGGAATTTCCTGATCTGCCAGCTGGGCTTTCATTCACTACTAGCTCATCTGAGGGAAATCCAATCACGAAAATGTCCCCAGCTTTCAGCTCTCCACTGGCGTGTATTCGCCCCCCCAGTACGGGTGTACACAAGGATACTCAGTAGAGGCAACAGGAGCAAAACCGCAAAACAAGCCGAAACACCTTACCACCTGTATCTGGACAATTGAGTTGGCCAAGATTACAACTGAATCCTTGGTGAGCGGACACTGTTCAAAGGAAGACCAGACTGAATTTCATAAATATGATTCTGTGACTGAGTCTGGAGGGCAGCGATGCCACAGGCATTTGCTGGGCACTTAGCATATGAAAGGGATACACAGAGGTAAGAACCAACAGGCGTCACTTGGTAGAGACGGGCAAGCTCTTTTCAATTTTCCTTGAGAATGGAGTACAAGGAACTTAGAAAAATGATAAAACAATCTCTTTAAGCTGCATAAAAAGGGTTCCAGCCAGCTATGGGAAGTATTTGCTAATTGAGAAGGCTGTGAGCTTGTTCAGTGACATGGAAAGTTACAGGAGTGCAATAACACGTCATCTTTTTGGTGTAGTTTAGGCACGTATATTTGCACCCAGTGGCCAAGTATGGAGTGGAACAACATCCCAGATTCCTCCCAGATCCAGACGTCAGTATCATCCTCTGGGACAAAACCAGAAAGGCCCTGGGGAGGCATGAGGGCAGCCATATGCGTTGGTGCTTCCCGAGAAGTAGCACACATGCCCTCTTCTTCCTGGAGCATGTTCTGTTCCCTGCGTCGAGCTCAGATGTGTGTCATGTTCCTGTTCCTGTTCCTGTTCCTGTTCGGCTGGCCTCTATGAATCCTTGGTAAAATCCAAAAGATGCTACCAGTGTTTATTTTTCTGGAAGTCAGTGTGCTAAGTAAAACCCTATCCTCCGTACTTGGTGGGCACGGAGCCGTGAACAAAATGTCCAACTGCTAAAAAGTAAAAATGTTATTAATTTTGGAAATAAGCCCGAAGGCCACCCGATAATTCTATTTTTAAAACAATATCCATAGCCTGAGCTCATTCTCAAGTAGCTTCTGGAGAAGTCATACCTTCTCTGGAGAAGTCTGAGGTCAAATACTAGTTAGTACAGAACTTAACTACCAGGGGTGGTTTGGTTTCATTGTCCTGACCGGGAGGCACTGGGATCGACATTTAGGAGCTTCGAAAATACCGTGAGGAATAGGTGCTGGGTCAAATAGAGCGGCTGTCTGCCTTTAATTGTAAGTGTTCTAAAGATTTTGGCGACTAAAGACAACATGCACATATGCAAGCACACACGTACACACATTTCCCCCCTCCCCTGTATGAGCCAGCTGCAGCTAGAAGTGTGAAAAGTCCAAACCCTGAGCTCCATTTCCTAAGCTCCTCGTATCTGGTGGAGACGTTGGGTTCTTACTAATATTTCATGTTCACTGTAATTGATTTTCACCTTGAACGCACTATGCATTCACAACCCTGGTCTGAAAATTTAATGCACTGCCGTTCAAAATCCAGCTCCAAGCCAGCGTCACACAAGTTGATTTGTGTTCGGTGTATCAACCATGAAAAACAGCATCCAGCCGGCAGGGAGGCAGCTGGTACCGGGTAGAAAATTCAGCCACGGCAGGACCTCACAATGCTTCAGGTTTGCCCTCTCCGACGGGGCCACCCTGATGGTCCGAGGATAATTAGCCCCTCGGCATTGAAGGAAACCCCTGATATCTGGTCCTTTCTTCTCTAGTGATATCTCGGGACCGTTAACATTCTCTTCACCCTCTGCCATTAGCAGTGAGAAGTGACAGCAGGGGGTGTAGCAGAGTGGAGGGGACGGGGAGGCTGCCCTCTGGATCCTGGCTGTCTAGTTGCTTCTAGAAAGTGCTCAGGATGTTCTTCTCATCCCTGTGTGCAGCCCTCGGATTTGGTGGCCTGGCTTGCTTCCTGCCCTCACCACATCAGCTGGGGTCTCACCAACCACCAGTTTGTGGGCTTTAACACAGTCTGGGGAAGAGCCTTCCCTGCAGCAGCAAGCCGCCAGCTGGTGGGATTCTCTTTGCACTGGGGGAGTGACTACATCTTCTAAACCTCTAACTGAGTGCACCGGTGGGATGGTAGCGCTGGAATTAAGTGGCTCTGGTTCCCTGTTCTCTCTGCAGAGACCTGAGGTTGAGCACGGGCTCTGGGCCAGGTTCCCCTGTCCAGAAGAGTTCCTTTGCAAGGAAAGCTAGGTGTGCGGCAGCACAGAAGGCGAGGCGTGCGGCTCTCCTCGCAGGCACTGAGTAATGACACGGGAGGCGAGCAAAGTGCAACTGGGCCGTCCAGCCTCTGCTGTGTCCTGCCTGCACTCACACCCTGGGGCCCAGGTGAGAAGCCTACGAGCTGCATAAGCAGCATCTTGATTCACAGACACAGATGTGGTGAGAGGGTCGTGACGTTCTCGAACTGAGAAAAAGCGAGAGGAGAAATGTTTCCAGACATGTGCGTTCTCTCGGGGCCTCGACAGAGGACGCCCCTGCCGTGCAGACGAGGGGTTAGAGAAAATCCAGGTGTGGGGTTTTCTCCCTGCTTTGGGGGTAATGCAGAAAGACACACATTACGAGGCTGTAGGCTGTGCTGTGCTTACCGGGATCCCTAGGGCTTTAAGAATGTTCATCTTGCACATGGGACAGGTACGATGGTCTAGAAGCCAGGGGTCAACACAGGATTTGTGGAAAAGATGCCTGCAATGAGAACCATACATCTTAGAGCGGCGGTAACTGCAGACACTACCTAGTCCACCACAGCCCAGAGACTTGTCCAAGGTCACTCGACTGCAGGAGGCAGAGCCAAGACTCACACCTCCGTCTCCTCACTCCTGGGCCTGTGAGATTCCTCTTACACCCTGTGCTGATAGACTCAAAATTTCTCTGGATCCCACGACTGTCCTATATGATTCACAACTGAGTCTTCCAAGTTTCAGAAAATGGAGAGAATGAAGACACAGATTTTTTCTCTTTCTCGCTAGGAAGAATGCTTAGTGGAAAGAATGTCAGTGGGGGTGGTGGTGGCGGGGGGAGGACTTCACAGGCCTTTCAGGATGACTCGAGAGAGGCTACTTGTAAATAAATCCTAAGTTTCTTTTTCCACAGTCAGAAGACGCCTGCAAAAACAAAGACGCTCGTTTCCATGAATATTTGGGCTCTCACACGAAGGGCAGGAGAGCTCCTGGAAGCATTTAACCACACAGATGCCATTTTACGTTGTTCTGGCTGCCGGCTGTCGAACCGGAAGGCGCAGTGAACAACCCGAGCTGCTTGCACGGCTGCCCTGCCCCACTGCCGTCCCCAAGCGCCGCTCCCGGGAGCCCCGACGGCCCGGGCGGAGGGCAGGCGCTCAGGGGCAGGGGGGCCTCCAGCCGGCCTCTCCCTCAACTTGGCTCTCAGGAGCCCAAGAGGTCACCAGGGGCCGCTCGAGTCCGAAGCTCGTCTTCTCACTCGTGAGACTCCAGACCACAGGCAGAAGCAGTCAGAACCTGCTGCCTGGGGTGAGAGGAGAGAGGAGAGAGCACGGCCTGTCTTAAGTAGGAGGGCTTCGCAGAACGTTCCGTCCACGCCTGCCTGTCCCTGGCGGTGCACTATTCCTGGAGTACGTCCACTCTCTCTCGCACCTTCATCCTCTTTTGTTCTAACAGGTCTGTTTTCTCTGGTTCAAGGGCTTTAGGCTCCAATGCTTAAGAGGGACCCCTAACTTAGGGAAGAGCGCAGGAAGAGCCACCCTTTAAATGGACATTGAGAAGAACCCCACGTGCCAAGGATGGGGTTGGCTGTACACCGCGTAGGATTAGACTGGGGATTGGGACAGGAGAGAAGCCACCTGCATGAGTCATGTTTCCAGATGATTGTCTGGAATGCCTACAGATTTTTATTCCTTGGATGACACATATCACATTCATTGGTTCCTTTATCCATACATTTGTCCAATCAAGTAATAAATGCCAAGAATTACGCTCAGCGCTGGGAATCAGCAAGGTAGCGATTTGCCTCCGCCTCCTTCCCCCAGGGAGTGTGACAGGAGGAACAGAAGTTAATAAAATAATATAAATAAACTACTTAGCGACGACAGTGCTGCGTGTCACATTAGAAGAACACAGAGTTTAGGGAGGCTTATAACTGGGAGATTTATCTAGTTTGGGTACTCAGGGAAGACTCTCCTGATGATGTGCCAAAGGAACGTTCAAGGGCTACACAGACGTTACCCGCATGAAGGGGAGGGGAGACGAGTATTTCGGGAAGAATGACCAACTGGTTGGCACAAGAGCCCTGAGCTGGGCTCTGGCAGGAATGAGGGAGGGACTAGCGCAGGATGAAGCCATCCCGTCCCCCCAAAACCAGTATGGACCTCCCTATGTTCAGGCTCTGCACTCAGGAAACAAGTTCTTTTTTTTTCTTTTTTTTTTAATTTTATCTATATATTTATTTGAGAGAACGAGCATGAGTGGGGGGAGGAGCAGCAGAGGGAGAGGGAGAAGCAGGCTCCCCACTGAGCAGGGAGGCTGATGCGGGACTCGATCCCAGGACCCTGGGATCATGACCTGAGCTAAAGGTAGGCGCTTAACCAACTGAGCCACCGGGTGCCCCCAGGAAACAAGTTCTGAATCTGAACTTGCTCACCAACTGGCAGGCCTTTGGGGAAGAGAGTCAAACACTGTGATCCTTCTGGCTGTTCTGGGGAGGCGGCCTCGACTGGGTTTCCTGCATATGTGCTGGAGTCGGAATGATGGGAGGGCCAGTCGGTAGCTGTTTGAGCTTCAGCAAGTCTCTTAATATCCTCAAGCCTCAGACGCCTCATCTGTAAGCTGAAGAGGCAGAGAAGTCTTCCCGGGGCCCACAAAAGCTGGTAACGATTCGAACCCCCCAAGTCATTCCTCTTTGTGTCCTGTTCATTCTGATATCTCCGTGATGGTAGGTTTTGTGGGTCAACTCGGCGAGGCTGTCGTGCCCAGTCAATCAAACACTAATCTAGGGCAATGTCAGAGAGCTGGTTACCAAGGACAATCAGTTGACTTTAAATAAAGGAGATTATCCTAAATAATCTAGGTGGGACTTATTTAATCAGTTAAAGGCCATGAGAACAAAACTGAGGTTTCCTGGGGAGGCAGAAATTCTGCGTCCTGTCAGCAGCATCGGATTCTACTCGAGTTCCCAGCCTGTAAGCCTGCCCTATAGATTCCCGACTTGTCAGCCCTACAATCACGTAGGTAATTTCTTGAAAAAGCAATGCCACGGGCAGCCCGGGTGGCTCAGTGGTTTAGCACCGCCTTCAGCCCAGGGCCTGATCCTGGAGACCCGGGTTCGAGTCCTACATCGGGCTCCCTGCATGGAGCCTGCTTCTCCCTCTGCCTGTGTCTCTGCTTCTCTCTCTCTGTGTGTCTCTCATGAATAAATAAAATCTTTTTTTTAAAAAAGCAATGCCTCGAAAACGCTCTCTCATATATATACATACACAAGTGATGGATCATACAGTGGGATGTGATGGGATTCTCTGGAGAACGGGGACCAATACATCCTCCAATGAGAATATAAGGTCCAGTAGAGCAAAATCCTCGTTTGCCTGAATCACTGTTTTATCCCCAGCATCTAGAACAAAGCTGATACTCAAGAAATATTTGCTATATGAATGGATATTTATCCAAAGACCTGGTACTCCTCATGGCCTACACATGGTCATCAAGCCACGTGGCCTCGCTCTTGCTACATCTTCCACACGTCCTGCTTCGTGTCTATTCTCAATGCTCCTCCCTCGCTCCTAGTCTTCCTAATGTTCTTTATTATTGCAAGAACATCTAAACTGCTCTCCATGTCACCAGCTTCTTCTGCTCATCCCACTCATCCTTGCCAGATTTATCTTCTTAAAATACAGTGCTAGTTACGTCGCCCCCTTGTTCCATTCTGTTCTGTGCTAGGGGCTGGGTACAAAGATGAATAAGACAAGGTCCTTCCACCAATGCAGCTTCCCTGGTGCTTCCATGGTTCCCTGTGAACTGCAACAGAGAAGCCACTGAAAAGCCACACTCCTGGATCCACTGCTTTCTGGTCTGAGGCAACTCTTGGATCTCCAAGGCTCAGTTGCTCACCTGGGAAATTTTCTTCTAAGTATGCAGTTTGCAAGTGAACGACTGTGTGTGTGTGTGTGTGTGTGCGCGCGTTGGGGTACAGGGGTAAAGTGACCCCAAAGCTTAAAACATAACTCTTGGCCCTCCTTAATTGTAAGCTACCATTAATCTTATTAATACCATTGTACTGCATCTTGTTTTTAGATATTATGTTATTACTGTGGTTCCTACTCTTTAGAATAGACTTTTAACATTTTAACGAGTAAAGGCAAATTATAAAAAAATTAAAGGGAGAACGAGGGCAAAAAACACACATAGGGCAATCGTGCTGATTATTAACCAGCATTCATTTATTTCTAGCACCGTATTTCTTGTGTTGACCATCAAATATAGAGACTATAACTTTATAATTGGGATTTTAAAACAATTTTTTCCCTCCCCAGTGGAAAGAATAACAAAAGTTACTAGACTAAATAAATAAACAAAGAGATGGAAAGAGTCCGGCCTTTAGTGAGATGCACCAATGGTTGAATAAACATCCCTGTGACGAAGTCAGTCGCAACTCATCCTGTTTGTACGATTCGTGGCCCAGGACTGTTCCTTCCCAAGCTTTAACAAAGGCTGCGTGAGAAAGTATATACTGGGGAACAATGGGACAAGATACTCTGTCTCTTAGCAGTCCTGGCAAGCTAGGAATACAACAGAGGGCTGCCCAAAACCCTTCTCCCTCTTAATTCATCAAAGGGAAGCAAATGTTTAAGAAAAACTTCTTCAAACACCTGAAAAAAGATGGTGCTGACAACTGCATAATGAGGCTGAGCTGACTATGAGTAATAAGTTCTCACCCCCCCCCTTTTTTTTTTTAGCACTAATGACCTAGTTAAACTCATTTCCCCATTTATTAATCCTAACCCTTGGTTTCTGTGGTCCTTTTGCCGATGTGTGCGACACCATCTCCAATTAAATGGCTTTATTTTTTCTCCACCTGGACGAAGAAAGGAGCTCTTCCGCCTTTCCATCTCATTTGCTTTTGTAGGCTTTGTCAGACCCTGTCATCGAAATTCCATGACTTTCCTTTTAGCACCAATACAGGCTGTTTCATTCCCTTCAGTGAAATGGTTATCAAAGAACATGAGTCACTCAGGGATCCAGGCAACATTAACTATTTAAATAGGAGATATCCAGGGCTTCTGTGGGTAGTCAAGATATTTCTCCGGAGCCTCAGAACCTTATTTGTGAAGTTGCCAATGAAGTCGGAGGTTTTGAATTAATAAACACGAATTTAATTAGTAAATATCTACTGGTTACTGAATGTCTACTATGTACCAGACAGGTTATATACCTTATTAATTCATAACGGCTCTATGAGGCAGATTATTCCCATTTTATGGAAAAGTAAGCTAAAGCTCATCAAAATAAGTAGAATTATCCAAAGAGCTAGTAAGCCGCCGAGCTAGGGCTCAAAGCCGGTCCTGAAGTCATTGGTTTTGCCTAACTCTGCCCTCCCCCACCCTTTCTCCCCCACTGACTGTCATGGGTAGGGGTGGGGGTGGGGGTGGGGTTCCCGATGATGCAGTTTTGTGGTTCAGCTTCCAGGAGGCACTATCTTAGTTACAGGGGTTGGGGATC